GGGGGGGGGGGGGGTACTCATAGTCGTGCATGCCGTAGTCGTTAGACCATTGACCTCGCATCCCTACAAAGCCAGAACGGAGCACGCCGGGTTCTCACCAGACCAGGCTCTCACATCACCAAGCGCGAAGCACCGTGAGGTATTGGGCGAGTCGCCTGAAGGGTGCGCTGCATCCTGCTAAGGGTGTTCGGCATCTTGTGCTTACTTCCTTGCGTACGGATGACAGCTAGCTGCGTACGACTTAATTTATTTTCGGGTGCTTTCAGAGAGACGGTGCTGTGTAACTGCCTCGAGGATGCTTGACCAATTTGGTGTGGGGGGGTTCGTTGTCAGATATTGGTGGTGGTGGTTGCACCGCGCGAACAACGTATATAGAAGGAGACACTTGGTGCGATGGACCTGCTTGCGCGTGTGATGATGATTGAAATTTATTGAAGATGATGTTACAAATGTATTCCAAAAAGACGGGCGACCAGGAAGTGTGTCTCCCGCTTCTTCCCTGTTACGGGTGTAAGGATAACAAATAAATTATGCTTGAACGCATTGGGCTGGGGCCGTCTTTCTACGAGCGGACCAACCGCTGGATGGATGTGACGTCCTCGTCTACCATCCATGTATTCAGTAACAACTGTGAATGCACATAAATTCACGTGACAATCGAGTTTTCAAGACAGAGGAGGTACAATGCTCGATGATGATGATCCCGTCCTCTCTGTTGACGGTGGTCGACCAACATCGATAGGTGGATCTGGCATGTGCCCGGCTCAGTCGCCATCACGAGTTCACAAGCTGGAGATGTGCATTTAGTCTACCGTACACCTGGATACAGATCCAAAGGCAGTCGACCAGAGCGAGAGCGCTCGGGTGCGCTTTGCTGTCCCTGCCAGGGTTTTGTTCATGCGGCTCGAGGCTAGTGATCTTCACGCTCGGCCTAAAAGCAGTCACAGTAATACAGGATTTGTCATTCTGCACTAAAAAACATCATCGACCAAAAAGAAGACGTGAGTAGATCTGGAAGGAAAATATACACAAAAAAAAAACGCGTCACAAAAAGGTGGTCGTGAATAGCCCCTCCCCCCTGCTTTTGACCTCACCACCCAAGAATGGGTACACTGAATGAACAAATATCGAAAAACAAGGGAGAAGACGAACAAAATCACTTCTTCCAAAAGCAAAACACGATGACACCACAACCAACCCCGTAACACACACGCCCTTCTTCCCACCCACCCACTGTCAAACAACAAAAATAAAAAAGAACGAAGGAAAACAAAAAAAAACAGGCCGATCCTTTCCGGCATCCATCAGCTTTGAAGGCATCTCTGATTTCTTGCTACAAGAAACAACCACAGCAGCAGTACAATAGTCGTCGCTGAATTACTTTAAGAGGCCACTGCTGTGATCCCTGAAACGAAACTCCACAAAAGGAGCGGCGGAACGATTAGGGTACCGTGCAAGTGGTTCCCACCGAGAACGAAATTTCTCTTTTCGCAAGAAAGACGTTCTTTTGTCGCAAGAAAACGTTCTTTTTTCGCAAGAAAGTCCTCCCGAAGCGAGAAAATACATGCCGACACATGCCCACAAAATTCAACATGGAACGGTTTACGACAGGAAACACGTGAGTGTGTAGCACTCAATTCATATTCCCGACCACGAGTCGGAGGCAGACGGAAGGCGGGGAGGGGAAGCAAGAGCGCGACGCTCAGCCTCTCGCCGAAAAAGCGCATCACTCTGCACGTCCCAAGTTTCACGGAGGTCAGGCCTGTGCGTGTCCAAACGCGACAGGCTCAACATCCGTTCGCCCAGCACTCGAAAGACTCCCCCCAGCAACGAAAACTCGGGGTGTGTACACCTGTAGCGCACCCCATTTACAGTTTAACCACTACGACCACATCTTCAGGTGGGTCAGACCAGACCAAGGAATGCAATCCGAGAGGACCTGGCCGGTTCCTCTGTGGGCCATGCAACAGCTCCCGACAAAGATCGCCTTCGATTCGTCTTGAGGAGGTTGTATGCAGAGGGTGGGGTGGGTTGGCTCGGTTCTCGACTCGTGCACGTTGCATCGCAGCCAATTTTAAAAGTTGTTCGGCTTGAACTGCTTGAAGCCCAGCATGCTCAAGATCTGGCGGGTGAATCGCGTGCGAGAGGGAGAGAGAAGGGAAGGGAAATGAGACCAATTGGATGCAAACCATCGTGTTAAAAACATGAATGCTCAAAGACGGCCGGAACAATGAAAACCGATGCCACTTGTATGATTGTAGAGTGCGATACAGAGCTACAAATATTGGGGTGCAGGGTGGTCGCGCAAGGATACGCGATTTTCTTACCTACACGAATCCTACAGATAGATGAGGTGCGTACAACCTTCGAAGTTTCGTGGCGACCCGACATGAGAGGTGGGGAAGACGCTGTGGCGCGATTTCCAGTCTTTCTCATCTCGATCGCTGCTTACTACAAATTCCCCTCTTTTTTTTCCCAACAGGACGGGGATTCATCGATCATCCAACAAACCTGTGTGCCTTTTCTGCCTTTTATACCTCGTCGACCACAGGATCAGGCCAATGTCCGTACAACAGCAAAACTAATGAACGCCTGTGTATACGACCGGCTGCTTGTACAACGCGCAGAAAGCCTCACCTTCGAAGCGCCGAGGAAGGCTGCCGTGATCGAGCACTCAAGGAAGTCGCCCTTGGGCTGTCGCGCGTACACCTCCGCCGCAACCTTCGGGTTAGCGTACGGCCCCTGCAATCGGTACTGGTGCATCGTGAACTGGGGGTCACGCGCGCGTGAAGCCGGGGGGGGGGGGGGGGAGAGACACACGACGTCGAAAGGAGAACGTTAGTGAGTATCGATTGCCAGGCTGAGAGTCATCCAAGTATTGGGGAGGGTTCTGAGCAGGAACACCTTGGGGGCTTGGCTCACAAGACACCACAGAAACACCTCGCAACAAAACTTCGGTTCCGTCCCGACATGCGCATGTAGCTTCCGAGGCACCCCGCGCCCCTAAACGCTCGTTTGGACACGCGCCTCCCAACAAACAAGAGACAACCCACAAGGTCGCATGTACGTGCGTTCCAAAAAGCTTCCTCAGATACAATTTTTCCAGCGCTGCGCAACTGACAGCTGTTCGCAGAGGCACTCACGGGGCCGAACATGATGGACATCCACAGCTTGGGCTTCTGGAAGAAGATCTTCATGAGGGGGGGAAGCACGCCCATCTCCTTGGCGAGGTCATCGGTGTAGATCTGGAAGTCCACCAGCCCCTTCACACGCTTCGCGTCGTACCCGAACCGCCAGTCGTACTGCGCCTGCACGAGTTTGTTGCGTTTGAGATTGCGTGAGGTGCGTTGTAAGGGAGAGAAGGAAGCAAAGAAGCGTCACTCAAGGGGGCTGCCGAGTGGACAAAGCACCGAGGTCGTGAGGGCGGAGCAGCAAGCAGACCACCCACATTTCTTTCAGCATAACGCCAAAAACTATATCCAAACGTATGCCGTGTAGATTGTAGGCGAGATTTGGATTTTGAAGCCGAGATCCCTTCCGTGACGTGGGAAGCACCAACATCATCTACAAGATCGAACATCAATTTTAGTACCGAAATAAGCTTTTACCTCCTTGGCTGCTGCTGCCAACCAACACAGGGACAAGATTAATGTTTTATGGACTGATTGGAGCCCACCACCACAAGGGGACAAAAAAAAAAAAAAGAACGCACCTTGTCCTCGAGCGCGACCTTCTCCATCTTGGCCTTGCAGGGCAGGTCCAGGTCCCCGTTCACGACCATGGAGTAGAACCGCGACTGCATCTCCGAGGTCGGCGGGATGGACCCGAACGCCGGCCGCGCGAAGCCGAAGTAGGCCACCTCGCTGCCGTAGTTCGGGTGGAAGATCTGCTTGTAGAGGAGGCGCGGGTTCTGCCCGTACTCGTTGATGTCCGGGTGGGTCTCCTCGGCGAAAGGGAAGGTGTTCTTGTACCCCGTGCACGCCACGATCACGTCGCACTCGAAGGTCGACCCGTCTCCGAACACCGCCTTGTTCTGCGAACCACAGGCAGGCAGGCGGTATGGCGTGTGTTTTTTTTGTTAGTCGATACACAGGCAAACAAAGTGAGAAAGACTCTTATCTACTTACCCGTTCGAGATACTACCACAGCGGTGGAAGGTAGCATGTGTTGTGAGTGAAATCATCACAGCTAGCGGAAGGAGAACGTATATTGTTGTTCACTACGTTGTGGTTATCGATACCCACGACGTTTGTGCTTCGTGAAACGGAAACAACGGTGGACAAGATTGGTTTTGGTTCGAACCTGGAAAAAAAAAAACACGTTCACGTTATTTCCACATCTGTCCACAACACAAGCAGACCTTGCAGCACACACAAAACGCGTCCGCACGTGCATGCAGCAGCCAAAAAACATGGGCCGCCATTTCTCACTCACGCCGACAAGCTCGAAGCCGCCCCTGTGGAGCGACGTGCCCCGGAGCACCATCGCCTCAACGAACCCCGCGTTCTTGCAGCCGAACTTGCTGAAGGCGGAGGTGCACTGCCCCAGGTTAAGCTCGGCGATCTTCTTCAGGACCTGAGCCTCCTCGTCCGCCGGTCCCATCGACGCCACGAAGCGCTTCGCCTGGAAGCGTGTTTGGGTGAGGGGAGGATGGGGGGGAGGGGAGGGGGGTGTTGGGATGAACGTGGCGTGTTTGTTTCGGGTTCAAGAAGCGAACGGGAGAGGGGGCACGTTGAGCTAAGGGAGGGACAAAACACGGCGGGGGGCGGGGTTTCGAAAGGTATTTGGCCATGTTAGAAGACGGCGGCGGGGCAGGCCTCATGTTGCGTCACGAGGCTTTTTGCATTCATGAAAAGGTTGTGGAACTCGCCGCTCTTGGCGTATTTCCAAAATTTTGTCTCGCTGAAATAATTCGACACAAACGGGGGCTAGAAAAGAGAAACACGTGATACAAACATGTCCTCAGAGACAGATGAATCAAGCGCCCGGGGAACAAACAACACGAGAGAGGACCAAGCGCATATCTCAGCCTCTTGCATCTGACTCATCGCACTTGGCGAACAACAACAACAACAAGAAACATGCCACCAGGGATCAACCATCCAACAAGAACCTCACCAGCTGGTTGACGTAGCCGACCCAGTCGCCCAGGACGTAAGGGTTCGAATAGCGGCACCGGTTTGTGTTGAGGTCCGTCACTCTCCCGTCCGCCTGCTTGCGGGGGATGAGGTGGCCGTGCTTGCCGCGGATCGCCAAGCCCGTCGACGAGGCGAACTTGCTGATCTCGTTGCAGATGTCCGACCCCGACTCCCCCGACCCCACCACCAGAACCCGCTTACCGGCGAACTCCTGTTTTTGGACGTTTTTTTTTTTTGTAGTTTTCGTTTCCGGAAAATCGGCACAACAACCGGGCGATCAAAGCGACCGCAGCAGCGGAGTAAAAACAACGAGGCAGAGGGCAAGGAGTGAATGGGGGGGCGATAAAATTACTGGACAGAATGTCGAGATACCGGGGTGATGATACTCTGCTGGATGGGTGTCTTGTCCTGCTTGATTCGAACAATAGAGATCCCACCAACTCGTGAAGGTACCGTACGTGCTACCGACAACCTTCGTCGCTCGACGCCATCGCCCCACCGCGAAACGGTCGTGCAGCGCAACATGGCGTGTACCACACAAAGGCCTTTTTTACGCTCAGATACGGTACGGCGATGCAGGGAGGCAGCCCTCCTCGGCCATCGGCGTTCACTATTGCGACATCCATATGCCGGTGCACCTGGCGTGCGCCGACACCTCCAAACGAAGACATATCTCCAGCAGTTCGACAGCATGAGCGGGGAAAACAACAACGCAAAAGAGCGGCTGGATTGGACAAAACGACGGGCCCGCGACGCACCTCCGCGGAGCGGTACTTCTCCGAGTGCATGATCTCTCCCTTGAACGTCTCCTGGCCCTTGAAGCAAGGCAAGCTCGCCCATGTGTTGGTACCGGTGCAGATGCAGACGCCGTCGAAACCGTCCTCCGCTTCCATCGGTTGCTGCAAAAAAAAATAAAAATGGGGTGGTTGGAGCCTTGTGTCAACACACAAGAGATCATCGCTTTTCACGTTAGCATCACCCAAGGAACCTCTCGGCTCATTTTCTCTGAGCGTTCATCTCTCCCTCTCTCAAAAGTTTCTTGGAGGCACCAAAACACATCTCCCAGATCATCTGCAGCGATTCCTCCACACTTTGTAGTACAGCACACTTTTCTCTCTACCGTCTCTTCCTTTCATTGTCCCTCTCTGTATCCCTCTCGTAATCTTGTGAAAAAAATACGAAAAAACTCACGTTGGGGTCCTCCGGCTCCACGTCCGGGTACGCGCGGTGTGGGGGCGAGTAGCGGTTCCTCTTAAAGGAAACCTTCCAAGTGCCGCTCTTGGGGCAGCGCTGCAGCTTCTCCACCTTCGTCCTGAAGTTGATGTACTGACGGAGGTTGAACTTCTGGGCGAAGCTGCTCGGTGGGTTTTCGTTGGGGGGGGGGGGGGGGGGGGTGGTAAAAAAAAAAAAAGGAGAAAAGAAGGGAAG